TTTGTGGAAGCACAGGTAGGAGCTAGAGAAGAGTAAATTGCTGAAATGTCTAGTATGTAAAATGCACAAAAGGTAGTTTGAGAGACAGAGAGAGCCCTAAGTAAGACTAGATAAGCATCTAGGGCCAGATAGCTTGATTATTAATTGAAGGATTTGTACTGTACTGAAAAGGCAAGGAAAAGCCATTGAAAGCTTTCAAGTGGAACAGGGTGTACTTGGGCTAAAACTGAAGGTGGGCTAGCGGCAGGGCAACAGTTAGATTACTGTAGTAATCTTGGTGAGACTGGATGAGGGGCTGAGTCAGGGTAGTTTAGTAGTGATTAAGAGGAGGTAATGAATATGTGACGCCGCTGGATCAGTCAGTAGGACTGGCAGTTAATTGATATGGGGGGTCTTGAAAGAAAGAGGAGGCTCCAGAAAGGGCATAAATTACTGGCCCAGTAGATAATAATACTTTGCATTTATATATGGGGCTTTAGAATTCATAAAACACGGTTGTAGCTGAGCATTCATAACTCTGTAAGGTAAACAGAGTTCGAATTATCCTTATCATTCCATTCCAGTTTCTTGGCCAAGTGCTCCATTCTCTAAAATACCCTTCCTTGTGAACCTGGGAAGGAAAGTCCTGGCCTCTAGTCCGGATGTATGCCATTAAGTTTGAATGTGGGAAATTGGCTTTACATTCTTTGAGCTTCAGTTTCTCCAGATGTCCTTCTGCTTTCTGTTCTGCAGGGATGCTTGCAGGATAAAATGTAATTTTAAAATTTTCATCAACTCTATTCAGCAAATAATAACGAGTACTAAATACTATGCTTGGTACTGGAATACAAGATGTATGAAATACAATCCTTGCTTTTGCAGTGTCACAGATTAGAGAAGGAGAGGAGAAGAACATGTAAATAAATAATTATAATAAACCATAATAAGTGCTGTACTACAGGTATGTGCATGTGACTATAGAGTCACATGAGGAAGAAGGAATTAGGAAAGTCAAGGGAGGCTTCTTCACAAGGAGATGTGAACTTAGTCTTGACACATAATTAGTGGTTTAACTGTAGTAAAAGGTTAAACAAGGCAGAGGGTACAATATGCATCATCACCATAATAGTAGCCACTATTTGTTGAAAGCTTCTGAAAGCCAAGGAATTCCAAGGATTGCCCATAGGCACCAGAAGCTTGGGAGAGGCAAGGAAGGATTCTTTCTGAGAGCCTTCAGAGGGAACATGACCCTGTTAGCACCTTGATTTCAGAATTCTGGCCTCCAGAACTGTGAGAGAATGAATCTTTGTTTTTCTAAGCCACCCAGTTTGTGATAGTTACAGCAGCCCAAGGAAACTAATATAGTGTGGTCCTGGCATAAGAATCAAATTGATCACTGGAAAACCCATAAAACCCAGAAATAGACCCATACTTATACAATCATTTGATTTTCAACAAAGGTGCCAAAGCAATCGATGGGGGAAAGAAACATCTTTCAACAAATGGTGCTGGGAAAATTGGGTTTCTTTATGGGGGAAAAAAATGAACTTCAACTCTTTGTATACAGCATACATAGAAAATAACTAAATACAAAAACTAAAACCATAAAGATTCTAGAAGAAAGCATCTTTGTGACTTAGGGATAGACAAAGATTTCTTAGGACACAGAAAGCATTAAACATAAAAGAAAAAAATTAAATACTTATCAAAAGACATTAAGAGAATGAATAGACAAGCTAAAGACAAGGAGAAAATATTTGCAAAGCATATATATTTATCTGACAAAGGATTTATGTTTAAAATATATAAAGAACTCAATTTAAAAATAAGGCAAACCAGGCTTCCCTGGTGGCGCAGTGGTTGAGAGTCCGCCTGACGATGCAGGGGGCGCGGGTTCGTGCCCCGGCCCGGGAGGATCCCACGTGCCGCGGAGCGCCTGGGCCCGTGAGCCATGGCCGCTGGGCCTGAGCGTCCGGAACCTGTCCTCCGCAATGGGAGAGGCCACAACAGTGAGAGGCCCGTGTACCAAAAAAAAAAAAAAAAAAAAGACAAACCACCCCATTAAAAAAAATTAAAAGAGTTTAAAGGACAGGTCACAAAGAAAGATATACAAATGACCAATTAGCACATTAAAATATGCTCAGTGTCATTTGTCATTGGGGAAATGCCAGTTAAAACTAGAATGAAGTATTAGTGCACAGGCACTAGAAGGGCTAAAACGAAAATGAATAAATGTAGCTAGAGATGTGGAGCAACTGGAACTCTCATACTTTGTTGTTGGGTTTGTAAAATGGTACTACCACGTTGGAAAAAGGTCTCGCAGTTCTTTAGAAAACTAAACATATACCTGCTCTATGACCTATGCATTTCATTTCCTTTCTAAACCTACCCAAGAGAAATTAATATACGTATACACAAAAAATCCTGTGTTTATAGAAGAATGTCTATAGCAGCTTTACTTATAATAGCCAAATCCTGGAAATAGTGCAGTTGTCTATGAACAAGAGAATGAATAAACAAATTGTGGTATAATTATACAATAGAATAAAATAATAGAAGGGAACAAAATCACTGATACACACAACACAGATGCATCTCAAAAGCACAGTGCTGAGGGGAAAAAAAAAGCCTTACATAATATAGTACATGTCACATGTTTCCAATATATGAAGTTTTACAAGAGACAAAACTAATCTATGGTAGAAGAAAATTTAGAACAGTGGTAGTCTCTCAGATGTGGGAAAGTTGCCTGGGAAGGGGCATGAGGGAACCTTCTAGGGTGATAGTATAATAATATCCTGTGTCTTGATAGGGATTTAGTTTATGTAGGTGTATGCATTTGTAAAATGTCATTGAATGGTACACTTAGGGTTAGTTCATTTCATTGAATGTAAATTTTATCTCAAAATGAAAAAACTTGTAAACAAATGTTAAATTATATTTATATGGAGGCTGAAGTGGTCAGGGTGAAATGTACTGATGCCCCCAACTTACTTCAAAATGCATTTAAAAAATGGATTGATGGATGGATAGATATGCGACAAAAATAAATAGAGTAAAATGTTAACTGTAGAAAATGAGTTTATGGGTGTTCAGTGTATAGTTATTTTAGCTTTGCTGTATTTTTGAAATTTTTCATAATGCTGGGAAAGTTAATTGCCATCAATAAGGAATGGTTAAAATTGTATATCCATACTGTGGAAAATACTGTATAGCATTTATTCTATTACGGGGAAAGACTTCTAAGGCTTTCTCTTAAGGCAAAAAACAAGTTGCAAAAAATATAGTATACCATTTAGTTTAAAAATTAATGTAACAGAAAGCTAAATTTCTGTATGCACATATGTAGAAATGCTTAGAAGTAGTTTGGGAAGGAGACAAGCATCTGTTTGTCTGAGAAGTAGTTTGGAATTGGGGATTTGTGGTTAAGAAGAGCTTTGACTTCATCTGAATGGTTTGACATTTTTAAGGCAAGAATGTATCCACGTATTACTTAAAAATTAATAGAAAAGAAGGATTAAGGCTCATCACAGAGGAGTTTGTATACACGGGGATAAAAAGTTCAACATCATTAGTAATTAAATAAACATAAATTAAAATAATAGTGGTGTCAATTTAGTCTATCAGATTGTGAATAAAACAAGAATACGAGAATTCACAGTATTAGTAAGGTATGGAGTTGAGTACTTTCATATACAGCACCAGAATATAAATTGATAGAACCTTTCTGGAAGGTGATTAGACAGCATATATTAAAAACCTTTAAAAAAAAAAGCCTATGCTTTTTGATATAGCATTTTCACTTATAGAGATATTCAAATAGTTGCAGAAAGATGTATGTACAAGGATATTCATTGCAATGGTAATTTCAAGAGTGGAAAATTGGCAACAACCTGTAAATCTATCATAACAGAATTAGGTAGGGAAATAAGGTATGGTGTGTCCAAATTGTTAATAATACTCAGCTACTGAAAATGGTGATATAGGATTATATTTATTTACACGGGAAAATGTCCACTATGTAAATGAAAACAAAATACAGACTGGAAGGATATATGCCAAAATGTTAGCAGTATATATATTGATAGTGGGTTTGTGGGTGGTATTTATTTTCTTTTTGTTTATGTTAATTTGCTACAGTGAAAATACATGACTTTTTAAAAAAACATTTTGTTGCTAGTGATGTTTATGAAGACTACACAGCAAAGTGGAAAATTCTTTTGTCTAATGAAAAAATTATACAGAATTGTTAGAGTAACGTGATTTTAAGTAATTTTTTCTGTGTGAGAAGGAAAACAAATACCTAAGTGTAACAAACACTTAAATGGTTATATTAACTTTAGGATCATAGGACTATGAGGTTTTTCACCATGTCTATTTAGATTTTGGGATGATACATGTTTTATGTTAAAAAATTATTTCATAAAATTTATTGTTCTAGACCTTTTGTATAAACTTTTTTGAAATTTTTTATTAAAAAAGAGTATTAGTAACTTTAAAAATTTTTACTAGGATCTACCTAGGTTTACATCAATAGATAACATGGAGTGACTTGAGGTGTTTATTATATTTGTTGATTTGTGACTGATTAAAAAGCTGTTTCCTATGAACTCTTTGAAGTAGATCTATGGAAATATTCTCCTTCACTAAAATATCACTAGTTTTCTGATTTTACCGGCTACAGATTTCACTTCCCCATTCAAAGTTCAGTAGTATTATTTATTTAGTACTGTCTGTGTGCCAGGCACTGTACTTAGTCACGCATGAATATGCCTTTAGTATTAGAGCACAGTTCACAGATTTAGTTTTAGTTGATCAAGCATTCTAAGAAAGAAGAAAGAAGTACAAATCTCTTTTCTATATGTAAGCTTCTAGATATTTAAATCATTCATCATGTTTTGACATTTGACAAATTAAGTTGCTCTATTTTAGTAGTTTGTTAATGCTTCCATCTGCTAAGGAAGAATGATAACTTCTCCATGACCACTGTGATGAAATTGCAATAATTACTATCCTTCAAGGTGAAGGCTGATATATTGAGGGGATCACAGAAAGAGCATAGGACTTTCTGCTTTGAGATTCATGAGGTCAGTGATCATGTCTGTTATTGTTTACAGTTCTGTTGTCAGTCCTGGCACAGTGTCTGGCATATAATAGATACTTAAATTTACTGGTTAGTTGAATGGATGAACAACTTTATAGTCTAAAGAGAGGAAATGGGTAAAATAGCATTATAATTTTGAAAATCTTTGTATCAGTTCTGAGTGAAACACATACATAATCAACTTTTGGGATGAGAATAAAAGGATGGTATGTACACACATGCACACACACACAAAGACTTGCCATATATAATTATGCAGACCCTCCAATAGAGGGCAGGGAGAATTTAATCATCATATAAATGCTTAATTTCCTTATAATCATCATCATCGTTATAAATAATATAATATATGATATATTATAAATAAATATTTATTATTTAAGGCTCTTCTTCCCTTGAAGTTAAGCAGTGATTTACATTTTAAAAACTTTTTAATACTAATGTCTTGGTTTGCATTGTATAGATTAATAAATTGTGCAGATTAATAAATAGTAAATAATAATTTGTAAAAGGTAAGATTTGCTTAAAGATGCTAATAATATATGAGAGGGCATAAGATTATACTAGTTTTTTAAATTATGCATTCCATCTCAAATGGTAGTTGGGTTGGTTATGTTCTCAAATGACATTTTTTATCTTCCCTTTTGTGTTTTCAAAGCAACATTAGACATAGGTCTGAAGTGTTGACAGAAGTCCAGTGCAATAATGCTTCATGAGATAAATAAGTGATATTTTAAAGCTTGTGATGGTCAGCAAAGCATGGCAGCAGCTACTCGTATGTCAGTTTTAAAAGACAAGGACAGGTACCCAAAGGAGAAGAAGCTGTCAGCCTATTTAGACACTTAAGGTTAAATGTCTTTAGGTTAAAAATGTTTGGAAAGACACTTCTCCTTATCCCTCTACTAAATACAGCTGAAAACCCAGGACACTATAAAAGAATAAGAAGACTCTGAAAGGTGGAGAAAAGACTGACCAGCTAGGGTCTGTGGGGCTGTTGGAAAAATATGGCACCTGGGTGGTATCAGCAGAGGCCTGGTGGGGAGCCTGAACTTTCACCCTCTGCACCTGCCCCCCCGCCCCCCAACCCAAAGGTATCAAGATGCCTTTCCCCCTCCCTGCCCTGGGAGTCAACAAGGGCAGTAGAATTTTCACTCCTGACTGGTAGCAATGAGGTGGCTCTCCCTTCCTGTGTCCCAGAAGACCTGCTAAAACAAGATTTAAATAAGATCCAAAGTCTCATAACATAAAATCCAGGTTTCAATAAAAAATCGCTCCACGAAGAACCAGGAAAATCTCAACTGAAATGTGAAGACAATCAACAGATACCAACCCTGAGATAACACAGATGTTAGAATTATCTAACAAGGGCTTTAAAGCAGCCATCATAAAAAGGCTTCAATAAGCAATTACAGCTCCTTGAAACAAATGAAAAATAGACAGTCCCAGCAAAGAAATAGAAGCTATAAAGAAGAACCAAATGGAAATTTTAGAAATGAAAAATACAATACCTGATTTTTTTTTTTTAATGCAATGCATGGGCTCAATGGGGAGTGGGGGTGACAGAGGAAAGAATTGGAAAACTTAAAAAAGAACAAAGGAATCCATCTGAACAACAGAAGGAAATAGACTTTTATGTCATTTTTTTTCTGAGGTGACTCAGAAAAGTTAGAATGGTTTAATAATTTTGGTCTAAATTTTGGTGACTATATATTTCCTTTCAGATTTTCTCATAATGTAGAAAATAATAATAGCATAATGGTCTAGTATATATAATTTTGGGGTTTATATTGGCTTGAAAATCTGAATTAAATTCCTAAATTTCCTATACTGGTTGTACTACTGGTCAAACAAGCAAACATTACATTCAAGAAACATTAAAATTTATTAAAAAAAGTGTAGGGACCTATGGAACTATTAAAAAATATTTAACAGTCATGCCTTTTTAGTACTGGAGGGAGAGGAGAAAAGGGACAGGGATAAAAAAATACTCAACAACAAAAAATGGTGGCTGAAAACTAGAAATAATAGCTGAAAATTTCCCAGATTTGACAGAAAACATCAAGAAGCTGAGCAAACCTCTTACAGGATAAACCCAAAGAAATCCATGCCAAGACATATCATAGTCAAACTTCCTCAAACTAAAGGCAAAGAAAAAAATTTTGAAAGCATCCAGAAAGAAATAACACATTGCCTATAGGGGAAAAACAGTTTGAATGTTGTTGGATTTCTCATCAGAAAATATGAAAGCCAGAAAGAAGTGACATCATATTTTTGAAGGAGTAAGAGAAAAGAACTTTCAACAGAGAAGTGTATATCCATTGAAAATATCCTTCAGGACTGTAGGAGAAACGGTGACATTCTCAGATGAAGGAAAGGAAGAGAATTTGTCATTAATAGATCTATCCTAAAAGAATGTCTGAAGGAATTTCTTGAAACAGAAAGGAAATGATAAAATGGAATCTTGGAACACCAGGAGAGAAGAAAGAACAGTAGAAAGAGTAAAAATATAGTAGACTTTTCTTCTTGAGTATTCTAAATAGTGTTTGACATTTTCTGTTTCACTATTTTCAAACATTATAACACTATCAAATGTTCTCAATGTATGTGGAGAAATATTAAAGAAAATTATAATGGGGGTGGGTAAAGAGCCTTAAAGGTAAAGCTTCTATACTTTACTGCAACATGTGAAATGTTGACACCAGGAAACAGTGATAAGTTAAATATAACGAATGCCTAGAGCAGCCAATTTAAAAAAAATCTGTTCAAAGAGATGTGTTCAAATATACTTTAGATAAATAAAAATGGAATTCTAAAATATGTTCAAGTAACCCATAGGAATGAAGGAAAAGAAAACAGGTAAAAGAAAGAGAAAATTAAAATGTTCTAATTTATCAATGATTAAATGTAAATGTCAAAGTTCACCAATTAAAAGACAACGATTTACAGAGTAGATTTAAAAAACCTGACACATTATATGCTGCTTGCAAGAAATTATTTCAGACCTAACAGTATAGGCAGGTTGAAAGTAAAAGGCAGCCTTGTTTGTAATAGCCAAAAACTTGAAACAACCAAAATGCCCCTCAGTAGGTAAATGGTTAAACAAACTGTGGTATATTCATACTATGGAATACTACTCAGCAGTAGGAATTAACTGTTGATACATGCATGAACTTGAATAGATCTCAAGGACGTTACACTGGGTGAAAAAAAGTCTTATCTTAAAAGGACACACACCATATGATTCCATTTGTATAACACAACAGAATTACAGAGATGGAAAGCAGATTGGTGCTTTCTAGGGCTTAGGGATGGTTGGAAGGAGGGTGTGACTATAAATTAGTAGCACAAAGGAGACTTTTGTTATAGTGGAACACTTCTGCATCTTGATTTTGGTTACACAAATGTACACGTGATAAAATAGCATAGAACAATACACACATACTGTACCAATATTAATTACCTGGTTTTGATATTGTGTTACAGTTAATCTGAAATGTAACCTTTAAGGGAAACTTGGTGAGGGGTAAACCGGACCTCCATATATTATTTTTGCAGCTTTCTGTGAATCTATAATTACTTCAAAATAAAATGTTTTAAAAAACAAAAAGATAAATTATGAATAAGAAGAATTTGAATATCTTAATACATTAATATGTTTTATGCATTTTCAGGTACAAGAAAGCAAGTATCTTTAATATATACAATAAAATTCTAAAATAGAATGCCTTCTATGTATGATATTTTTTAATTTAGTTTTTCTTTTTATTAGCATTAAAGAGGCTTATAATGAAGAGACTTTGAACCTTTTAGCCTTTATTTATTTTTTTAGTGTGTTAACTTCCCATTATAGAAGATTAGGATTTAGCTGTTGTTTACTTAACCCTGTCACCATTAACAGCCTTATTTATGTTTCCCCACTTTTCCACTGTAGATATCATATTCACTTCAATTAGATCAGTATTCTGGTTTTTTAGTAGGATGGTAAAAACACTGTTCATATCTGAGATCTGATTCCTTTTCTACTCTTGTACAACTTTTTGTTTTCCCCAGAATTAATAATTGTATTCTTGCTTGTTTTTTATATACCTATGATTAATTGGATCCTACACTCTCTGAATTGCAAATATCTTTCTGTTCATTCTGAATATCAATTTTCCCATTTTCCTAATTTAAAGAGGGAGGTGGGCATAGGTTTGGATTTTAGAGCTTTGGTATAAAGAAAATTCTTAGTGTTAGAACTTTTTTTTTTTTTTTTTTTTTGCGGTACGCGGACCTTTCACTGTTGTGGCCTCTCCCATTGTGGAGCACAGGCTCCGGATGCTCAGGCTCAGCAGCCATGGCTCACGGCCCTAGCCGCTCCGCGGCATGTGGGATCTTCCCCGGACCGGGGCACGAACCCGTGTCCCCTGCATCGGCAGGCAGACTCTCAACCACTGCGCCACCAGGGAAGCCCTGTTAGAATTTTCTTGTAAAACCAGAGTGAATGTAAATTATCTTTGCTACTTTTTCTATTTATACACATACTGTGTCCAGCTGTAGATAGACAAATGAATATTCCTTTATTTCAGCTTAGCTCCTGATAGCAAAGGGAATCTATAGATATTTGTAAAGAGTCTGTATCCTCATCAATCCCAAACATTTGTTACATAGAGAAGTGGGGAGAGCTGTGGAATATAGGCCAGAATACTTGGGTTCTAGTTCTGATTTAGTTGCTAATTGACATTTTCAGTCTAGGATAATCAGGTAACCTCCTTGGCTTCAGTTTTCTTTTCTCTTTAATAATGACAGGATCAGACTGGATTATAACTGAGACCTCATCTATCTAGTTCAGATGTGATTTCAGATAGATACATGATTTACTTTAATCCTGACTGTATATATAGAATCCCTAGATTAAGAGTGTTTTCATTTTCAGTATTTTAAAAGAAATACTCTGATGTTTAGAGAGAAGTTGGATTAAATGGCCTAAAGTAATTTCTAAAGCATTGAAGAGATGGGAAATTACAAAAGACAGAAATAGGCCATGAATGTCGTCTTTCTTGTACTTCAAATTATGATATGGGAATCGTGGTTTTAACTTCCTAAAGGTGCCTAGAAAAGGAAATTGTAAGTCACCTGGAACTTCATTGTTTACTACCCAGTAGGTTAGATTTGACACATATAATATGCTCTGAAACGATTAGGGTGGCTTTTATGGTGATTTCTTTAAATTACTGACTGTAGAAGCTTGAGGGCTTCTGAGAGAGTTCTTTGTGGTCTAATAGTTTTTAGTTGATGTAACCGAGGTCAGAAGGTACTGTTTTTCATATGCAAGCGTTTATTTAGTTGTGAATGTGATATGATAGATATTTCATATTTGGGATACTCGATTCATTTTCAGACGGCATTTAGGTGAATTACATACATTTGGAAATGAATTTGTAAGTTCCTTACTGCACCTGTTGGTGTACTTGTGCGTGTGTTCAATGATGCTGATAATATGCCTTCTTATGGGATCCTATATAAAGCACATATGTAATTTAATAACAAATATTTGTTCATTGGTTATTATTCACTTATAACATTTTATTGGTTTTCAGGTACTAGAAGAAGCAGAAGCTCAACACTTATACCAGTCCATTTTGCCTGATATGGTGAAAATTGCACTCTGTCTGCCAAATATTTGCACCCAGGTTGGTGGAAATAACTTCTTCCTCAGTAGCTTTCTTGAGACCCACAGTTGAATTTCGTTTAAACTCTAATTGTCAAGGTCAAACAGAGAGATGGGAAACAGTTTTTTGCCAGAGTATGATGATTTTGCTATACTAAGGAAAAGGTTAGAGGCTACAGGGAACACTGCGAGTGGACATTAAAAATGCAGCATTCAATTTCTGAGCTTCAGTTTACAGTGTTGATGTTTGCTCATACTTCTTTTTCTTTTTTTTAAAAATAATCTCTGACTTTCAAAAAAGGATAGTCATTATTTCAAAGCATACTAATGGATTTAGAAAATTTTATCTTCAAAATGGCTCAATACCTACTCCTTCCTCCCCTCTCCCCCAGAGTAGTGTATTGTATAACAAATGAGTTCATGATACATTCTTAACTTTTAAAAATAAAAGAAAGAATCTGGTATTATTTTGTTTTGTGTGGGAGTGTATTATTTATTGCTACATAACAAACTACCTCAAAATTTAGTGGTTTAAAACAGGAAACTTTTATTATCGCAGTTTCTGTTGGGAATTTGGGAGCAGCTTAGCTGATTGGTACTGGCTCGGGATCTCTCTTGTGGTTTCAGTCAGGGTATTGGGCAGGGCTGCAGTCATCTGAAGGTTTGACTGAAGCTGGAGGAGCTACCTCTCAGCTGGCTCACTCACATGACTGCTGGCAGAAGGCCTTAGTTCCTTGCTGTGGGGCTCTCTGTAGGCTGATTGGGTATCCTCGTGACATGGTTGCTAACTTCCCCAGAAAAAGCCACCCAAAGGAGAGAGGCAGGAAGAGGCAGTGCCTTTTTGACCTCGTTTCTGAAGGCACACACTATCGCTTTCACTATTTTTTCTCTGCATTAGAATTTAGTCAATAAATCTAGCTCATACTCAAGGAGAGGATAATTAGACTCTGCCTCTCAAGGGGGGAGAGTATCAAAGTATTTGTAGATGTAATTATAAGAGGTTGTTGGTTTGTTCTTCATAATTCTTTTCCTGTGTTTCTCGCAACAGTAGCTTGAATTCGCCTCTCATTTATTTCTAGGGCCAGCCCCCTGGCTACATGGATGCTAGCCAGGTTTCTGCTAACACTGTTGATCCACAGGGGCCCGAGGGACATTTTGGGCAGAGCAATTTCTGAATGTGTAGGATGGTCCCACACATTGCAGTGTATCATTGGAACGGCACAAAAAACGCAAGCATAGTCATTGGGGCAACCAAAAGCCATGTCCGAATGCCTGAGTCCAAATGTTGAGAACCACTGAATGTTTTTCCGTGTGCCATGTTTGTTAGCATTATACTGTGATATTTCCAATTTTAGGTAACTGTAATTTCACCTCATTAATTCATTGTGTCTGAAATAAGTTTTTCTATTGGGCAGAGAAAATATATTTTAAAACTCAACTTCTTGTTGTTTATGTTGGAAGTTATTTGCTTGCTTATGTTTCATGTTCATTCTTTTCTCTTTTTCTCCTTGCTTTTTTCCTTATGTAGTAAAATTTCTCACTACCTCTTAGGTTCTGCCCCTTGTGAAGCCTTTCCTACGTCTCCCAGCCAAAGTTTATCACTCCTGTAGCACTCGAATCATACTTATTATTATTAGCACATTATTTTGTAATTTATGTTTTTATATGTCTCCTCCCCTAGATTATATTCTCCCTGAAGGGGGATCATCTTTGTGTCCCCAGGTCTAACAGTGCTTAATTAAATGCTTTTTAAATTCACTGTAGTTCATAATTAACCGAATATAGCCTTTAGATAGGAATCACTTTCTCCTCTTCTCTTCCCTTCATGCTTTAGAGAGAAGGTTTCCCTATTGTACTTAATGAGATATGCATTCAAAAGCACCCAAGTTTGTAATCTATAACAAGTCAGTGGGTGGAACCAAAATCAGATTTGCAGCTCCCATCTCTTTTTCCTGGCTTAAAACAACTATGTCCTTCCATTAGTGTACTAATGGGAGAACATTTTAATTTTGTCCTCTGTCCTCGACTAAAAGGTAAATCTCTGCTGTGAAAGTTAACATTTCAATTTGTTATCGAAATATATCTTTGGCAAGTTAAATTGCATATGTTGTTATTTAATGATTTATCATATTAATGTTCTCTAGGCCAAATCTAAAAGGTAAATTTTAGATTTATAAAAATTAAATTAAAGGAAACAAATTTTGGACATGAACTTTTTGAAAGATCTTCATTCATGCTTTTTTAAATTACTTAATTTTTTATACAGCAGGTCCTTATTAGTTATCTGTTTTATACATATTAGTGTATATATGTTAATCCCAATCTCCCAATTGATCCTACCCTCCCACTCCTTTCCCCCCAGGTGTCCATACGTTTGTTCACTACATCTGTGTCTCTATTTCTGCCTTGCAAACCGGTTCCTCTGTGCCATTTTTCTAGATTCCACATATATGCGTTAATATACGATATTTGTTTTCCTCTTTCTGACTTACTCTGTATGACAGTCTCTAGGTCCATCCACATCTCTACAGATGACCCAATTTCGTTCCTTTGTATGGCTAATATTCCACTGTATATATTTACCACATCTTCTTATCCATTCGTCTGTCGACGGGCATTTAGGTTGCTTCCATGACCTGGCTATTGTAAATAGTGCTGCAATGAACATTGGGGTGCATGTGTCATTTTGAATTATGGTTTTCTCAGGGTATATGCCCAGTAGTGGGATTGCTGGGCCATATGGTAGTTCTATTTGTAGTTTTTTAAGGAACCTCCATACTGTTCTCCATAGTGGCTGTATCAGTTTACATTCCCACCAGCAGTGCAAGAGGGTTCCCTTTTCTCCACATCTTCTCCAGCATTTGTTGTTTGTGGATCTTCTGATGATGCCCATTCTAACTGGTGTGAGGTGATACCTCATTGTAGTTTTGATTTGCATTTCTCTAATAATTAGTGATGTTGAGCAGCTTTTCATGTGCTTCTTGGCCATCTGTATGTCTTCTTTGGAGAAATGTCTATTTAGGTCTTCTTCCCATTTTTGGATTGGGTTGTTTGTTTTTTTAATATTGAGCTGCATGAGCTGTTTATATATTTTAGAGATTAATCCTTTGTCCATTGATTTGTTTGCACATATTTTCTCCCATTCTGAGACTTGTCTTTTCGTCTTGTTTATAATTTCCTTTGCTGTGCAAAAGCTTTTATTTTTCATTTCATTATTATGTTTATTTTTGTTTTTATTTCCATTACTCTACGAGGTGGGTCAAACAAGATCTTGCTGTGATTTATGTCAAAGAGTGTTCTTCCTATGTTTTCCTCTAAAAGTTTTAGTGTCCAGTCTTACATTTAGGTCTTTAATCCATTTTCAGTTTATTTTTGTGTATGGTGTTAGGGAGTGTTCTAATTTCATTCTTTTACATGTAGCTGTCCAGTTTTCCCAGCATCACTTTTTTTTTTCCCCCAATGTAACAGCTCCTTTACATTGCAGTGAAAATTGATTTGTATATTTTTTGCCTCTGAGTCCTTCCTTGTGGGATTTTTTTTATTATTATTCAAACAGAAGGTCACAAAAATTGTAATCATCCTCATCAGTTCACTCAGTCCCATGTAATTAATTTCTTTTATCTTGATCTTTTGTTAGCACTTTTATGAATTCATCAGTTTTCCATTAGAGTTCTGAAAATGCTTATTCATTCAGTTCAGCAGTATAGTCAGTTACCAGAAACCTGTACTTGTCAGAGTCTTTTCCATGAATTCCTTGAAGATGAAACCCTTTTATAGGAACATTTTTGCAAAAGCATCAGAGTACACCCAGAACTGTCTGTAAATGACAAAAGACTTAAAAATGACCATGGTTAAAGATTTGATGAAAGTTCATAATAATGCAATTGAAGGAAGTATAGTTATTTCTGAGATATACATTTTAAAGTAATAACTAGAATTATGACTTATAACATTATATCAGAACATACAAGATTTTTAGAAATTTCATGTAATGTCTGAAACATTTATATTAACATATTTCCATACAAATAACCCAAAGAAAGTTTAGTATTAGTTGTTTTATTTGTTTGTTTTTTTATACTGCAGGTTCTTATTAGTCATCAATTTTACATACATCAGTGTATACATGTCAATCCCAATCGCCCAATTTAGCACACCACCATCCCCACTCCACCGCAGTTTTCCCCCCTTGGTGTCCATACGTTTGTTCTCTACATCTGTGTCTGAACTTCTGCCCTGCAAACCGGTTCATCTGTACCATTTTTCTAGGTTCCACATACATGCGTTAATATACAATATTTGTTTTTCTCTTTCTGACTTACTTCACTCTGTGGGACAGTCTTTAGATCCATCCACGTCTCAACAAATGACTCAATTTCATTCCTTTTTATGGCTGATTAATATTCCATTGTATATATGTACTACAACTTCTTTATCCATTTGTCTGTCGATGGGCATTTAGGTTGCTTCCATGACCTGGCTATTGTAAGTAGTGCTGCAATGAACATTGGGGTGCATGTATCTTTTTGAATTATGGTTTTCTTTGGGTATATGCCCAGTAGTGGGATTGCTGGATCATATGGTAATTCTATTTTTAGTTTTTTAAGGAACCTCCATACTGTTCTCCATAGTGGCTGTATCAGTTTACATTCCCACCAACAGTGCAAGAGGGTTCCCTTTTCTCCACATCCTCTCCAGCATTTGTTGTTTGTGGATCTTCTGATGATGCCCATTTTAACTGGTGTGAGATGATACCTCGTTGTAGTTTTGATTTGCATTTCTCTAATAATTAGTGATGTTGAGCAGCTTTTCATGTGCTTCTTGGCCGTCTGTATGTCTTCTTTGGAGAAATGTCTGTTTAGGTCTTCTGCCCATTTTTGGATTGGGTTGTTTGTTTCTTTAATATTGAACTGCATGAGCTGTTTATATATTTTGGAGATTAATCCTTTGTCCATTGATTCATTTGCAAATATTTTCTCCCATTCTGAGGGTTGTCTTTTGGTCTTGTTTATGGTTTCCTTTGCTGTGCAAAAGCTTTGAAGTTTCATTAGGTCCCATTTGTTTATTTTTGTTTTTATTTCCATTACTCTAGGAGGTGGGTCCAAAAAGATCTTGCTGTGATTTATGTCAAGGAGCGTTCTTCCAATGTTTTCCTCTAAGAGTTTTATAGTGTCCGGTCTTACATTTAGGTCTCGAATCCATTTTGAGTTTATTTTTGTGTATGGTGTTAGGGAGTGTTCTAATTTCATTCTTTTACATGTAGCTGTCCAGTTTTCCCAGCACCACTTATTGAAGAGACCCTCTTTTCTCCATTGTATATCCTTGCCTCCTTTGTCATAGATTAGTTGACCATAGGTGCGTGGGTTTACCTCTGGGCTTTCTATCCTGTTCCATTGATCTATATTTCTGTTTCTGTGCCAGTACCATATTGTCTTGATTACTGTAGCTTTGTAAAGTGTAGTCTGAAGTCAGTGAGTCTTATTCCTCCAGCTCTGTATTTTTCCCTCAAGATTGCTTTGGCTATTAGGGGTCTTTTGTGTCTCCATACAAATTTTAAGATTTTTTTTGTTCAGGTTCTGTAAAAATTGTCATTGGTTATTTGATAGGGATTGCATTGAATCTGTAGATTGCTTTCGGTATGGTCATTTTCACAATATTGATTCTTCTAATATAAGAACATGGTATATCTCTCCATCTGTTTGTGTCATCTTTGATTTCTTTCATCAGTGTCTTATAGTTTTCTGAGTACAGGTCTTTTACCTCCTTAGGTAGGTTTATTCCTAGGCATTTTATTCTTTTTATTGCAAGGGTGAATGGGATTGTTTCCTTAATTTCTCTTTCTGATGAGAGGTCTTCATTCATATTAACCAGTGTCTTATTTTACCTAGCTGAGTGCTCGATGATAAGATTTACATCCCCTAGTTTTCCCCAAGTATTAGCTTTCAGGCATTTCTCCTCACCAGGAGAACAAATAACTTATTATATTTTAAATTATATTTATTTAGTTATTTGGGAAACAAGAAATGTTTGTGTTTTAAGTCCATTAAGCCTAAAATCATTTTTGTGGATAACCTGGTAAATGGTAGTTAAAAACTCATTTCTTACTAAAACCAAGGAACAGTGTGCTTTAAGCCATTGATACTTTGTCACCTTTTCTAAACTCATGGCTGGGCTGTAAATAAATGTATAGGAAGGAAAATGAAGATCAATATGAGCTCTCTATTGCTTCTTTCTTAGAACTGGTGTTTGCTAAGGCCTAAAAGGAGAGAATTTTGGATACCCTAATGAAAATAAATTCTTGATATTTCCTGTTTGTTTACTTTTGTATTTTCCCAAGGCAAATAGTTGAACTGCAAGTTTAGCATTTTCTTTTTCTAGCAAACTCTTATTCTAGCAATGATGTATGTTTTCTGTTAGAGAAAAGCTAATTGTTATAGTTGATTTGTCTTGCCTGCCTTTCCTCAGTTTCGTTTTGAGTGTTGATTCCTGAGATGTGATCAGGACAGTTCTCTATGCATACTGTTTTGAATTAAAGTAGATATCCAGGATTCTTAGTTCTGACTTATTAAATGGAATAGGAAAAGCGTCCCTAAATATTATGTTGGAGCATTTTGAAGCTTAACAACTGATGTAAATTGGCAGTTGGTTTTTGGCTTTCCCAGCATGACTTTAAAAACATACAGTTTAAACATTTAATACAGAATAAAACTCACTGAACGCAATACTCAGGTCCTGTGGAATATACTAAAAATAAAAGGTTAGTCAGTTTGGGTTTGGTATAACTTGAAGACATTTCAGATGTAAAAAACTTGAGGGAGAAATGTCCTGCATCTTCCTTGACTTGAAATGATTATGTAGGAAATGCCTATATTCTTACAGGTTATACATAAATAAGTCTGTGTACACATGTTCCATTAATTGCTTTAATAAAATTAGATTTGGGTCTTATAAATTGTCAATGAGAAGTGTGATTCAAAATCAGAAGGAAAAGACTTATTTATTGAATTATTTTCCTTAGTTCATTTTCTTTAGGACTGAAATAGAAAAATTGCTCTGTCCAATAATCTTTAATATAAGTGAGAACAAAATTTAGCATATGCAGTAGTAGCTAAACTCAACATTACATTTTTCTGTTCCATCCTTTGTTTTAATTTTTCATTACATGTGTAATGTGTTTTTATTTCTTACTTGCTAAAGGAATCTCGTTTTTCATTAATACAAGTAATGTTTTGTGTTCTCTTCACTGTCATTATTATTGATTAGAAATCTGCACTTTGTCAAACAAGTACATTTTCCCAATCATCCTTGATGAACTGCTCTTGACTTCAACAGTATTGCTGATTTAAGGATTCAAGAGTGGCCTGAAATTATTCCTACCTTAATTTAGCAAATGCAATTTGGTGCCTCTGCTTTTGAAATTGCTAAACTAATTATTGCTCTTCTTGTCTGTATTTGTGTTTCCTCTATCAGCCAATACCGCTCCTGAAACAGAAGATGAATCATTCCATCACAATGTCACAGGAACAGATTGCTAGTCTTTTAGCTAATGCTTTCTTCTGCACATTTCCACGGCGCAATGCTAAGATGAAATCGGAGTATTCTAGTTATCCAGATATTAACTTCAATCGGTATGTTTTCAGCGAACCCCTTTTTAACATTAAAATGGAGGGTTGGCATTGAGTGATTTGCCAAACATTTTATGTACAATTATCTAATTTAATCTTTACAATACAGTGAGTTAAGTGATATTTTTGCTATTTTTCAGGCAAGATAATTAAAGTTCATGGTTAACAAAACTTGCTTTGGGTCCAGGAGCCAGTAAGTCACAGAGCTAAAGTTTAGTCTCAGGTCTGTCTTACTCCAACGCACATGTTCTTTCCACTCTGTCAGGTTGTCCTCCTCCTCTAAGTGCCCTGAATTCCTTATGCCTGTTCCGTGTGATTATTTAGTCACAGAACATTTGTTGTACATTATATTCTTTGTATGCTGAAATAATGTTAAAGCTGGAGTGAGTACGAGTACTCCTTTCTGTAAAGTGTGAGTTTGGAGTCATGAGACTGACTGTCTTATGAGGCTTGAAAATACAGTTCTTAAGACAAAAAGCAAAAGTGAAAGTTGACTTTGACTTTTTATAGACATGATTAATTTATTAATCTAATATTTTTTAAAAGGAAGACAAAATAATGTTTAACTTATTTGATTAAAGTAATGTGTTGTGAAGGTTGATAAAGTTTTAGATTCTAACCATTTTCCCACATTATTACTTTCTCCATCATTTACACAAAAACATTGTAAAATCTTCTTGGCAAATGATTATTGTTTTTTTCCTCCCTCCAACCCCCCCCTCCACCCCCTATCTCTGTTTTTCACCTGAGAATTATCTTTATGGGATCTGTGAGTAAAATGTGAGGTTTTTTTCCCCTAATGTCAGGAGCGGGCCTTCAGAAAATTGTTCCAGTATATGCTCCTCTTTCCCAGTAGACTGTGTGTAATGTCCTCCTCCATTACCTCCCTCTAATCCCCATCTCCTGCCTCTGAGGGGTGGGGCAGTGTGGACAGGGTACAGAGAAGGAGATGTAGTGATGGAGCAAAGTCACATGACTTTGCTCAAAGTTGACAGAGTTCTGTTTGCTGTTTTGTTTTTGTGTTCAAAGTTGATTGGTGTGGTAATGCCACTTATTTTAGTTTACCTTTTTAATGTTATCTTGTTAAAAACTTTATTTCTAATGAATTTTAGGTGTGTAAAAAAGTTGCAGAAATAGTACTGAGAGATCTCGAATACAACTCTCCTTAACTTCCCCTTATGTTAATATTACTATGTAACCATACTTTGTAACCATAGTAAAGTTATCAAAACCAGGAAATCAACATTGGTATAATACTGTTAACTGAACTACAGACCTTATTTGAATTCCAAGAGTTTTTTGGGTTTTTTTGTTTTGTTTTGTTTTTTTGCGGTAGGCAGGCCTCTCACTGTTGTGGCCTCTCCCGTTGCGGAGCACAGGCTCCGGACGCGCAGGCTCAGCGGCCATGGCTCACAGGCCTAGCCGATCCGCGGCATGTGGGATCTTCCTGGACCGGGGCACGAACCCATGTCCCCTGCATCGGCAGGCGGACTCTCAACCACTGTGCCACCAGGGAAGCCCTCCAAAAGTTTTTGTACTGTATTTTTCTGATCCAGAATCCTCCCAGTATCCCACACTGTGTTTACAGTAGTCCCCTCTTTTTTTTAAAAGACCATTTATTTAATTTATTTTTTAAAATTTTTATATTTATTTATTTATTTGGTTGTGTGGGGTGTTAGTTGCAGCAGGCGGGCTCCTTAGTTGCAGCACATGGTCTCCTTAGTTGTGGCATATGGGCTCCTTAGTTGTGGCATGCATACTCTTAGTTGTGGCATGCATGTGGGATCTAGTTCCCTGACCAGGGATTGAACTTGGGCCCACTGCACTGGGAGCGTGGAGTCTTATCCACTACACCACCAGGAAAGTCCCTACAGTAGTCCCTTCTTATCTGTGGCTCGCTTTCCATGGTTTCAGTTACCTACAGTCAACCACAGTCTGAAAATATTAAATGGAAAATTCCAAACAATTCGTAAGTTTTAAATTGCACACCATTCTGAGTAGCATGATGGAATCTTGTACCGTCCCACTGCTTCCCATCCAGGACATGAATCATCCCTTTGTCCAGCGTATCCCACCTGTTAGTCACTTAGTAGCCTGACTTGGTTATCAGATCAGCTATTGAGGCATCGCAGTGCTTGTGTTCAAGTAACCCTTATTTTACTTAATAATGGACCCCAAGCAGAGGAGTAGTGATGATGGCAGTTGGGATATGACAAAGAAAAGCTGTAAAGTGCTTCTGTCCATGGAATTAAGAAGAAGGAAAAAGAAATTTATGGTAGTTTTGCTGTTACACCTCAAACTGCACAAGTTATGGCCAATGTGTGTGATAAGTGCTTAGTTAAGATGGAAAAGGCAGTAAATATGTACAATAGGATATTTTGAAAGCTAAAGACCACATTCACATAACTTGTATTACAGTATATTAGTATAATTGTTCTACTTTATTATAGTTATTGTTGTTAATGTCTTACTATGCCTAATTTATAAATTAAACTTTATCATTAGGTATATATCTGTAGGGAAAAACATAATATACATAGGGTTCCATATTGTCCAAGGTTTCAGGCAGCCACTGGGGAGTCTTGGATTTCCTACAGGTAAGGGGGGACTACTGTAGTTTTCTAAGTCTCCTCTACCCTGTTATTTCATTTTTCCTTTTCTTTCATGACTTTGACACTTTTGAAGACTACTCCTCAGTTATTTTGTAGTATGTTCTTCAGTCGGGTTTGACTGACATTTTTTTCACAAATGGAGTGAGGTCACTGAATTTTTGACAGAAATAGCAGAGAACTGATGTTGTGTCCTTTTCGGTGCATCATATCAGTGGGCTCTTTTAAAAAAAAAAAATAAATAATTTTGTTTATTTATCTATTTTTGGCTGTGTTGGGTCTTCGTTGCTTTGCGCAGGCTTTTTCTCTGGTTCTCTGGGGCAAGCAGGGGCTATTCTTTGTTGCGGTGAGCAGGCTTCTCATTGCGGTGGCTTCTCTTGTTGCACAGCATGGGCTCTAGGCACACGGGCTTCAGTAGTTGTGGCACATGGGCTCAGTAGTTGTGGCTTACGGGCTCTAGAGCACAGGCTCAGTAGTTGTGGAGCACGGGCTTAATTGTTCCGTGGCATGTGGGATCTTCCTGGACCAGGGTTCGAACCCATGTCTGCTGTGTTGGCAGGCGGATTCTTAACCCCTGCACCACCAGGGAAGCCCTATAGCCTCTTTTTGAATGAATCAGATTAATAGTTTTTTACATCATAGGTAGTCAGAAATTAGAATTATCCCTAGAAATAATTCTTGATCTGTAAGAATTATTTCTAGTCCAGAATGACCATGAGGGATTTAAGCTTGCAGTATCCCGGTAGCATTTTTACCAAATAAGAGTTTAAGTAGGTAGGTCTGTTGAAGATTTGAAACCAGGCATGCTCTTGTCTTCCTGGCTGATGGATGTTCTTTTGGTCACCAGAACACTGAAAATTAATTAAGGCAGGTGAAACCTGTGGTAGTTTCCACAGTTGTTTTAGGGAATCCTCAACAGTCAGGATGTCTGCACTTGTCTCTCAGTGAGATGAATGTGTTTTCATAACCCGAAAACAGCCAACAACCGCAACTATTCGCGATCATTGATGCTGTCTATTGGCAGCTCACTTTGATTTTCTATCTCTGGAAGTTTCTAGTTGGGAAGCTTCTATACTAATAGGTTCAGTGAGAGTAAATGACTTGTAGCAGAAGTGGGACTTGAACACTGTCTTCTGTTCAAACTCATTGCTGTTTTGTTATGTCTCACTTCCTCTCAAGAGCAAAATGCTCTGCGTGCACTCCAGAAATGAAAAACAACCAGTAGTTCCCCTTTTTCGTGTGGCTTATGAAAGATCAACTACCTAATTTGATGAGCCATTTGGTAAGCAGATTATGGAGCATTTTGTTGTTGTCATGTTTTCTTTTTTGCATAATTGCTGTTTATGATTATAGTTTCTGCCAGTTAGGAGTTGTGTGTGTGTGTGAGTGTATTTAGTCTCCAAAGGCTAGCCAGTTGATTGAATAAGAAAAATAGTAAGAGTTTGTGGTGGCAAGCTGATGTCAATAAATTGAATAGGTCTTCCCTTTTTTATTTATCCTTGTGTTCTTCCAGCCCTGCTTAGTTATGTTAAATTCCCCTGACCTTTTCCCCTGCTTGCCTTTCAGGGCCTAAACATTCTTATAAAGGCTTCCAATGTGATTAGCATCGATGCTTCTGAGATTGCTTAGAAACTGATGGTCAGAGATTAATTGTGGGTTGCAGCAGTGGTCAGCCCAGGAGGCTTTTACATCTGTCTCTTCGTGGATTGAAAATGCTGTCAGGGCCATATGGCACAGTGCTTCACAGAAAAGCCAAGAATGACTTTCTGGCTGGGTTCCGGATTATCATTTGCTTCCACTTTAAAGTGGAGGTTATAGTGCTTTAGGTTTGATTTACTGTATACTAATAGGATTAATCCTTAACTTGAAATCACATGGGAGTGTGTGTGTGTCTAGAATCCAATTCTAGTAATGTTATCAATATTCCATTCAGGGAAAGATTTTATTAAACTATGTTTCTCTTTATATGTATGGAAAGAAAAACACCAGTTAATAAGTAGCTGACCCTTGATTGACTTATTCCCTTGAAAATAAAAGTTTTGTTTAGAACAAGAGTGAGGTTGCCTAACTGGCTTTTTCTGTTTATTTTCTTTAATAATCTGTAATTATCATTTGGTTAAATGCTAAAATGTCTTCCCTACGTGTGGAGGGGTTATTATGGCCTAGTTTATGTGCATGTTTACATGCACGCCTGCTGACTCAAAATATGCCTTCAAATATACATACCCAGGGATCCAGGGATTTCCCTGGCAGTCCAGTGGTTAAGACTCCATGCTTTTACTGCAGGGGGTGCGGGTTCGATCCATGGTCTTGAAACAGATCCCACATCACGTGCAGCACAGCAAAAACAAAACAAAACAAAACAAAAAACCCAGGACTTGAAAATCTAAATTAACAACAACAACAAAAAATGGTGTTGAGGAGTTAAAAAAAAAACTGGGATGGTGCTTGATTATTATGAGAAGGTCTCATTCTCTCTGAGTCTCTGTCTTTTTCTGTTTGTCTCTCTGCGTGTCTTTCTCTGCTCTGTCTCTCATACCCTCTTCTGTCTTCAACCCAACTTCTGTCTCTTTCTCTTCTCTCTGTCTTGTCAGCCCCATCTTTCTGTCTCTTCCTTTCTCGGGCTCTGTCCTCAGTCCCTTTGTCTATCTCCCCATCACCACCACCCCTCCCCCTGCCACCACCCCAAACGCTGTCCTTCAGATAGTACATCACTCTTGTGGCTTTCTCTCATGCAGATTGCCTGTGTTTTTATGTTATTTTCACTTGCTTCCATACCAGAATAACTCATTTTATTTAGGTGGCTATTCGTGGTACTTTAAAATTTTACAAAGCGAAATCTGAGAATTGATGCAAAGATTTTAAACCTGCTTCATCTTGCCTTATTTTCTACCTCCCTGTTGTGTCCCAGACGCCACCCCACACACACTTCTCCATCAGGAAGATGGAAAGCGTATTTGGTTGCATAGTGATTTGAAATTAGACTTGGAGAATGAAGAAAGAGAATGCATTGAGATTCTGCTTGATTTGTACCTATAAGATTTGGACCTGTAAAATAAACAGTAGTGCTCATTTGTAGTGGGTGATAATAACAGACATATAATCTTTCCAGGAAAGTCCATATTGCTAAGGTAATAAATATGCAGTCCCAAGAGTCTCCTAAGGTTAATAATTTGCCACCATGGTTATTAAATATGTTAACTTTTATGTGATTTTATAAATAAATGATCACATGCTGAAGCTAGGGGTGCTTTTTACATTTGGGGGAATTATTTCTTAAGGGCAATAGCCATTTTCACTCATTATGCAACAGCTCTACGAAGAGGAACTTTTTCCCCTTAATTGAGTTGTATAGTAAGTATATCAGTTCATCTCTAAAAAAAGGTGATAGCTGCCTTTGTATTTATCCTGATTCCCTCTACTAAGTAGTAAACCTAGAAAGGGATTTTGCAATGGATCCCAAGGTATTCATTCGGTAAATCATATTTATTTGATACAGGATGTTTAATTAAACTGCCAAGTGGCTTCTTCATTTTGACTGTCATTTTGATTTAAACAAGCTCTATTCTGGCTGACATTTTGCAGAAGAAACTGAACTGAAACCTGTGTTTGCAAAGATTTTCTTTCAGCAGGCAGCTGGATTTTAAGAGTATTTGTTATAAACATTTTAGAAAATGCAGTCTTTTAGATGAGAAAAAATTTTCACACAGGCACTCAAACTACTTTTAAACATTAATTAGATTTCAGATTTCGTTAAAATGCTTTCTGACATTTAGCGTTCTTTTCAGGAAATAAGTATTCATGTAAATTGTTTTCTCAGAAATTGACCCTGAATAAAGAATTTCAGATCATTGGAAACAGGATCATTTGAAATCTACATTTCCTTCCCTTTTCCTAATTCATTTCATTTGCTCAATAGGATTTTCTCATAGAATTAACTTTTCCCTCTCTGCATAGTTACATAAGCTTGTTTTTCTAATCATGAAAAATTTTACCCATTTCGGCACTTATTAAAGTGGACTTTTACTTGAAGGGTTTCTGGTTTTAGAGCAAGAGTATATGACTAGAAGCAGATGACTAATACTTCATCGTTTATAGCCATAGAATTTCTTTGCAATTTTTAAATACCTTTGTAAAGCTAGATCTTGTGCCTGAAAGCATGCTTTTGTGTTAGAAATCTTTTGGTGAACTACTTACTGAGGTCATATGCTTTCAAAGCCTTACTTTTCTTCCCTCAGGATAAATTGCATTATGTGTTACCAATAACAATGCCATGTCATTTCAAAGAAAACTAAATTAAGTAGTGCAAGTCCAGGTTGCTGGAAACTGGATGACCTAGGGTAGGCATTGTTTTGGTTACCATACGAAGGGTATATGTGTTTAATCACCAAGGATTGGTCAGTCCGCCAGTATCTTGTCATACCTGCTTGTTGTTATCCTAGCTGCACCCCACCCCCAAACAGTCATGTGGATTTTTTTTCAGATACCATTTTCGTTCAATCATTTAACTACCTGGTAATATTATGAATTATATATAGTATTTGCCATGATCAAGCATTAACTCACTGGCCTAATTGACTTTGGGGGACCGGATGGTGCCCCACAGAAAGATAGACTGGAGGAACGTGGTTGTTAGAGAGTGCCATCTGACATGAACAACTTTGAAGAAGCCTGGTTCTAGTTGGTCTCAGTCCTCTTCAGATTCTGTTTGAATCCAAACAGTTTCCCAGTTTTCTGTCGTTACAGAATTGCCTTCTGGAAGAATTACTTCTTTTATTACTTGGTAGCAGTATAGATTTAGTTTTCTATGAATCATTAAGGCATTTAGAATCATCCTTACCCTCTTTTATTTTCCATCTCTTTCAGGTTGTTTGAAGGACGTTCATCAAGGAAACCAGAGAAGCTTAAAACACTCTTCTGCTACTTTAGAAGAGTCACAGAGAAAAGTACATTCCTTTCATTCTTAACGTAATTTTTGTCACTGAGGGGGACAGTTCAGACAGGTCAAAAACATTTTGTGTTTAAAGTACACTTTCCTCCCCAAACCACATTAAAACAATAATAATTCAATATCTAGATTTTATGCATTTGTTTTGTGTATATGTAAATGTGTGCTATGAATGTGTATGGGTTTTATATACTCTGAAATTAGACTAGCGTAACATACGCTAATGGATGTTCATGAATAAAAATAGTAAATACTTTCAAAAGAAAGTATATTGACTGGGAGATACATTTTAGATATTCTTTATTTAAAGAAACATTGACTATTACAATTAGTTTATTTGCAGAGGTTAACCAATTCATTGCCTTCCTACCCATCCCTCTCTTTTGTGCCTCCTTCAGCCCTTTGTAGAGTTCTTATAAAACAGTGTTTGTACTTAGAGTTTACATGTCTTTCTTCCTCTGTTGGACCTCAGCCATCTTCTTTTCCCAGAGGCTAATCATAGCACCTGAGGCAGTAGTGGTAAATGTCTAGCCAGTGCTGGTAGTGACCAGCTAATATTAGATGGGTGTTGCCACCCTTATCCTAGGAGCTGGGTGATCACAGACCCACAGACAAGTTTCTTAACATCTCTAAGCCTCAGTTTCTTCATCTGTAAAATAAAAGAATAATGATAACTTACCTCATTGGGTAGTTGTAAATACTAAATCAGACGTTACATGCTTAATAAATGTTAGCTATTATCATGGGTAGCCTTTCCTGCAAAGTAATTATAAAGGAAGCCAGAACATCTCAAAAGTTTGCTTTTGCTAAGTAAAACAGGTCAAGTGAAATGAGTTCTTTTCAGTTCTGGTTGTCCAAGTTGTGGGATTGTCTTAAAATACATCACTGAATTATTTTAAGGTCATTTTTCTCATATCCTTCCCTTAGTAAGTAATCTCACATCCTAGTGTACTTGGCATTCTTTTCCTTTTGAATGTATTGCTATTGGACATTGTACAAATTTGGGGGAAAGAAATCAATAATCAGGATTTTGATAATTTAAGGGGAAAATTCATAGGCTTCTTTTGATAGAGGGTTATTTTTTTTTCCTGTTCTGTTTTTTTTGTTTGTTTTTGTTTATTTGGCTGCGTCAGGTCTTAGTTGTGGCATGTGGATCTTTGTTGCAGCATGCAGGGAGTTATTTCTTAGCTTATCATTTTTTGTTTTGTGCTCTGTACTGAATGAAATAGTAAGGAAAGAGAATGCTCACTGGGGCTTATGAGACATGAAACCTAATTAGAATTTGTACTAATTTGTTAGAAAGATGAGTATATATTTTGCTATTCTAAATCTAAATAGAATGAATTCCATTACTGTTTCTAAGTAATTCAGGGTTTACTTTTGTGTCCCTGAAGTCAAATCCTGCATGTCTGCTCTAAAAGCCAGCTTGCCTTTCCAAATTTTAGGATTTTAAACACTTTGAGAGAAGAAGCTAAAATTTTGTTTTTTCAACTAGAAATTTATAAATCATCATACATATTTTTTATTTATTTATTTATTTTTTTCATCATACTATTTTTTTTTAATATTTATTTATTTGGCTGCTCTGGGTCTTTAGTTGCAGCACGTGGGATCTTTGGTTATGGCATGCAGGATCTTTGGTTGTGGCATGTGAGATCTTTAGTTGTGGCATGCAGGATCTTTAGTTGCAGCATGCGGGATCTAGTTCCCTGACCAGCATCGAACACTGGGCCCCTGCATTGGGAGCACGGAGTCTTAACCACTGGACCACCAGGGAAGTCCCTAAATCATCGTAAGTATTGGGAATTAGGCTGAAAAAATAAATTGTAATTAGACGTTTTATTTTCTGACTTTTTCACTGTACATGGTAATTTGGTTCTTTGTAGAAATATAGTAAGACATACTATAGGTTTTTAGGATATAAAGCTACAGGCTTAAGGAGGAAATACTAAATAGAATAAAAGAGGTTTTCAATTTAATAATTACTTTCTATAGAATGTTCTAGAGTCTACTGAATAGAAACTATAGAAACCTATTTAAAGTACCATATTTCATCAACTCTAGGACATGATATATGGTAAGAAGTTTCATTATGTTAGGTACCACTACAAAGGAAAAAACACTCAGGATGGGGAGTTGTAGGAGATAGCTCTTACAAAGCTGGTATACCAGAGGTCTGTACCCTTAGTCTAAGAATAAGTGAGAAATTAACTTGGCCATGCAGAAAGGGGACAACAAAGAAACTGCAAATGTCAACCTAGGTAGAGAGGGCGACCAAAAAATCTTCCCTGAGAATTTGAACCACAAGCCGCAAGTCTGAGGTCTGAAGTCATATTACCAGTGTGATCCACAGAAGCCTGCAACGGAAGATTTAATTCAGACTGATTTCAGGTTGGTGGTGGCCCCAGATGATGGTAGAAGCAGATGCATATCTTCTCTGGAAAAATTCAGCTTTAATGCAGACCAATAGCAATGGCTAGATACCTTTGACTATTTGAGATATGTCCTAGTTTCAGAAACTTAATACGTGAAAAATATGCTTTTTAGAATTGATAAAATATAATTTCATCAGGACCACCTTTTCAAGGTTGTCAGTATATATTTTATATTTGTAGTGAGGCTCTTGAGACTGAAAGATTTTAAAGAGCTTTCTGAATTATTTTCAATATAATTTTAGATAAAACTATCTTATAAATGGAATATTTAAAAAGTGATGGCTTGGGACTTCCCTGGCGGTCCAGTGGTTAAGACTCTGCACTTCCAATGCAGGGGGTGTGGGTTCAATCCCTAGTCAGGGAACTAAGATCCCACATGCTGTACGGTGTGGTGAAAAAATTAAAAAAAATAAAAGATTAAAAAAAAATTTGGATGATCTTAAAACAAAAAAGTGATGACTCATATGCAGTATATATTGTGATTTTATTAAAGGAAATATTTGATTAACCAAAATAACCTATTCTGGTGTGAAAGGTGCCTTTCTATGGAAGAAAGGTAGTAGGCATGTTCTCAAGGGTTTTTTTTTTGTTACTAATTATATCTAAAGAGCCATGTTCTTCATCCTTTTCTCTTGCTTTGCCAGAAATTTTCATTTTTTAATTTCTCTTGGTCTCTGCTAGTATATATGAGAGACATTTAATGTTCTTACTTTTCTGCTAAATTATTGAATGATGACACAGACATTAGTTTCCTATTAATAGAATTGCTTCTCTAGTGTTTGAATTATTTGACTTGTGAATTTTAACTATGCTATCCATTTGTCTTAAAGAAAGTTAGACATCTAAAGAATATTTTGTAACTCACGTTAACAAAATTCTGTTTTCTACTGTAACTACTCCATATGATTTTTGGATTGTTGCTGCTTGTGACTGAGAGCAGAGAAATGTGGAATCATCCGAAGGAATGAAATGATTGCCAAGCTTTCACTGGGACTCTACCACCATTATCACTAATAGTTCCTGACATAGTTCTCTCTGCTTAAGAGCATTTTTTTTTAAAAACAGAAGAAAACAGAAATGGCCTTGCCTTTTTAGTTTGTTCTTTGATTTGAATCAAACAAATTTCTTTTGGCCAGATGATTTATTTTTGCTTTTGCCACTATTTAAAAAAAAAAAAGTAAATCTAACAAAAAAGGATCTGATCCTCTAAAATTTACTGCATTTTGATGCTCTCATATCTATTGCTCCTTGAAAACTATGTCATCATTCTTCTCTAACCTCTTAGAATACAGTAATTCCTCCTTCTGGCAAAGGTGCCTTTAAATAGAGCACTTGCGTATCATCTAAGCCCTGGGTTTAGCTGTGTCAACCTCAAAGGACATGCCAGCAATTTTCTTTTTTAATCTTAGACATATTATTTTATTATAAAACACATAAATGTGTATACATTTACCAGTCTTTAGGTGTAGGGTTAAGGCTTTTTTTTTTTGAGGAGTTTACAAATTAAAAGTTAGTTTGTCTTTGTTGTATAAGCTATATCCATTGTGCATCCTTTTTTCCCCCAAGGATTTTTTAAAAGTATGTTCAGTTTGGAAAACTTAACCAAAAAGTACCAGCATGCAAATCCTACTGTCGTGCTGTTTTCTGTATAGTTTTGTGTCTTAGGGAGGGCTTATTTACTGTTTTGTAGAAAGAATTCCTATTGTAAGGATAATATTATTTTAAATCAATCTTCTGTTGTATTCCAGTACCAGGCTTGGTTTTTCCTGATTAGCTTTACAGCCAGTGTTAGACCCATTCTTTTACTGAATATATATAATCTTTTCAAACTCAATACTTATTTTGGGTGTGTTTCTCTTTTATTGCTTTTGTAGAACCTACTGGGTTGGTGACATTTACGAGACAGAGTCTTGAAGATTTTCCAGAGTGGGAAAGGTAATAATAATGTAAATAATCCTGGAATCTTAGAATTGGAAGGACTCTTTCACCATGAGACGATTTTATTTTACAGCCCCTGAAAAGATGGTTTCCCAACCTCCTAATTGCCCTAGTACCAGGGAATTTCTTCTTAAAATGATCAATTGATAGCTCTCGTTGTTAGAAAGGTCATGCCTTTTGAATCAAAGTCTGCAACCCTTTCACTTCTACTCTTTTGCCTTAGTTTTATCTTCTGAAACAAAGTCCTATTTAGAATTAGGAGTTTTCTGTGTGAAGACACTAACATTAAACACCAATATTTAATGTTCCTCCTTACCCTTGGTTTTATGGTTAATGTTTGTATTTTATTGCTTTTCTTTCTGGAGGACAAGATTAGGAAGTTTTATTTTTACTAAACTAAAATGTAAATCGTAGTTACTTAGTATTTGTCTGAGTGACAAGAGTTTTGAAGTTTGGTTGTCAACATGTACTATTGGCAATTTTGTGGAAGTTGCTAATTTACTAGGGTTTTTTCTTATTTACCTGCAAATACTGAGGAGAATAATAAGCGATCTGAGTTTATTCAGATATGTAAGTTCCTTTAGTGCCTTGAAATAGTCAACACATTTTCTAACCTGGAACAAATTCCCAAAGCACTTAGAGAAGAATGTATCTACTGTTTCAGTGCATGTGACGACATGATTAAACATGCTAAATGCATATTTTGGATGTGCATTCATGTTAATCAGTGCCTCTTCATTTTCACTTTCTAATAATTTTTATCGTAGTTTGTAATTGTTTTGTTTAGAATTAGTGATGAAAGGGACTCACTCTTAAAGTAATTAACTTGAGAAAGCACATATGCTTAGATGGCTTTCCTGTGTTTTCATCCATCAAAGATGTTTATTTGTGAGGTGGAGGAAAAACAAACTCACTTTAGGAGGCTGACTCCATGGCTGAGATGATTATTAGCAGAGGGAAGTGGATAAAAGATTAAGCAACCAAAAGAAAGACAAAAACAAGAACAAAATTGAGTCAGAAAGGAAGAGAAACATGTACAGCATTTCAGAATCATGGTATATTAGAAATTAAAGGGACCCCAGGAAGTCATCTGGTCCAGCTGCCTACTTAAAGTAATCAGCTCTGTAATACCTATAACAGATGGAGACTAGGCAGCCCTGGTGATGGGAAATTCACTGTTTGGCCGCAGTCTATCCCACTGTTGGCTGCTTGTGTTATTGTCTAATACTTTCATTTACTAAAAAAAGTCTGTCTTCCAAAAATCTCCCCACCCCGCCAAATCCCATTCCTTGTTCTTCCTTCTGGAACTACAATCAATAAAACTAATTTTCTTTAAGATTTGACCCTCCTTCATGTATTTTAATGCTTTCTTGATCCACCCCCACCTCTAACAATACACACAGGTCCATACTAAAGTACTCATTTCTTTTGTTTCACATATAATATGGATTGTAAACTCTTTAACTCAGCTGTTGATGTATCCTAGGCCATTGGTCCCTCTTAAAATATGGTGCCTAGAACTAAAGTAACAATCTGCTGTGTTATCTGCCCAGATTAGAGTACAGAAGGTTGCTTTTCTTAGCTCTTCTATTAGTCTCTAATAGGAACACAGATGTTTTTGTTCATGTTGCTTTTGTGTAGATTTTATAGATCATTCAGAGGGATTGTTTTTAATTCAGCTCAGGATCTCTACTCTGCATCTGGCATTCATTTGGCACTAATGTGAAAGGGCACCTATTTGTACACCATCTGGGAGAGAAGGGATAGGTCAAAATGCAGAGATTGGTGAGGCTGCTGTGTCAGTAAGATAATTTTGCTCTTTAAATAAGATCTAGATATTCCACTTAACCTAGATAGGCAGAATTTAACTTGAAACTTTTCATACTTTTTTTAAAAATTTCATTGATCTCTTTTTTGTTTTAGCTGCTTCTTAAGTGAGTTGCAGAATGCAATTAAAATCCATCTTCTCCCAGATTCCACAGAACCAGAAACATGTGTTCACTTAAAGAGAGAGGATGAAGAAGAGATGAGGATTGTTGGTATTCCCAAGAGTAAGGGACTAAATGGGTGCCAGGAAATTAGAGGCTTTTCTGAGTTTCAGGATTCTGGAATTATAGTTAACCCTGTGACTATCAATAAATACCTTAGCCAGGCTTAGTTAATCACAGAGAACCAGAATAATCTGTCTTTGATTCCTGGGGCAGTGGTATGAAGAATTTGCTGGGGCCAGAAGGGGAAACCTATTAGGAAGTTGGAGGATGCTTATTTTAAAAAAATAGTTTCTAGCAATTTCCTAATTTTGAGAAGTGTACTATAAGGTGACAACTACAGTCACAGAGAATAGTTGACAGCAGATGAGACTTCTGGATCATGCTTCTTTATCTTCTCAATAGTATCCTCACAGGTAGTCCCCTGGAATAAAATAGCTAGGAAAGTAGGATGCTGCAAAAAAGGGAAGTTAAAAAAATCAAACTTATGGTACTAACTTTCTCCAAGAGATTTAGAAAGTAATTTTTCTAAAAGCATAGCTTACTGGTTAAGAGCTTGAACCATTACCTTAGGCTTTCTGGGTTCAAATCTTTGTTGCTTCATTTACTAGTCTTGGACAGGTTACTTAAATGCTTTTTGTGCTTTATTTTCCCATCTGTAAAAGGAGATAGTAATAGGGATGTTGTGAAGATTAAATAAGTTAATACAAATGAAGCTTTGAGAACAGAATCTGTACTGAATTATTTTACCTTCTGAGTAAGGTCAGTCTGTTGGACTGGAGCTTTACCAGAAATGTATTTGGATTCATTGATACCAGGATAAAAGCAAATCCCAATAAATAAATAGTGCTTCCCAGCTAAATTTTTTTTTAATATAATTGTTTTAAAAAATATATAATTCCCCTCCCTCCAAAAATTCATGCCAGTCTGTATAAGTTAGGGGTTTACTATCTGTTACATTCTATTATAATTTATTTATTTTTATTCAGTAATTAGGAGAAAAAAATCTAAGGAAAAAATGTCATCATCAACTGCTATTAATAAAAAGGAATTTTTTTTTTAATATGATTTAAGCAGGTAAACACTGTAGGGCAGGAAAAAGTTTTTCCTCAATCCTCTTAGGGTCCCTGGCTGGGTATGAAAATTAAACTAAGATTAACAGGAGAAAAGCATAAAAATTTATTTTATATAAGTTTTGCATGATACAGGAGCCTTTATGAGGAAATGAAGACCCAAAGAAACAGATCTATGTACTTCTATGCTAGGTTTGATGAAGAATAGACGAGGAATATGATATGTAAAAGAGTATGAGGTGATTGAAGTAAACTGGGGGAAACAGCAAGTTCTGGTTGTTGGAATTCTTCTTGGCATCTTTTTGTCTTCAGATAATAATGCTCCTTTCCTCCAGGTATAGGTAGGGTCCCTCATGTGAGGGTTTTATGGCTTGTTTCAGGTAAGAAGGGGGAGAGGGGGAGGAGGTCAGAGTGACCTTTCTGCTTCTGCCATTTTCTCAAACTTCTTCAGCTTAAAATATTCACTATGCCAAGATGCCAAATTTGGGGGTGGTTTATCTGAACCCCATAAACACCTCAGTGACCATGGTTTATGAAAAGGAAAGAAAATAATTGTGACTTACAGGTACTAGACTTACCTATCAATTTTATTAATATAAAAATATCATAGATCAGGATTTCTGTAGCATGTATTTTCATCAAGACACCCCACACACATATACGGTTTCCAAACTAGTGAAAATAGAGCCCCTCTGAGAATCATATATAATTTTTTGTAAAATTTTTCTATATTTTTCCTTAGGTTGCCAACTCTAGCATAATAATAAAATTTCATAGATCTTAATTTTTAAAAATATTGTGAGAAGTTTTTCAACTTTTAAAGAGGAGAAACTTAAACTGGTGCAGCCACTATGGAAAACAGTATGGAGGTTTCTCAAAAAACTGAAAATAGAATGACCATATGACCCAGTAATTCCACTCCTGGGCATATATCTGAAAAATAATTCAAAAAGATACATGCACCCCAATGTTCTTAGCAGCATTATTTATAGTTGCCAAGATATGGAAGCAACCTAAGTGTCCATCAACAGGTGAATGGATAAAGAAGATGTGGTATATATGTACAGTGGAATACTACTCGGCCATAAAAAAAGAACAAAATTTTGCCATTTACATCAACATGGATGGACTGGGAGGGCATTATGCTAAGTGAAAGAAGTCAGAGAAAGACTGTATGGTATCACTTACATGTGGAATCTAAAAAGTACAACAAACTACTGGGTATAACAAGAAGGATACTCACAGATACAGGGAACAAATGAGTGGTTACCGGTGGTGGTGGGTGTGGAGCAGTGGGAGGTACACACTGTTGGGTGTTATATAGGCTCAAGGATGTATTGTACAACATGGGGAATGTAGCCCATATTTTGTAATAACTGTAAATGGAAAGTAACCTTTAAAAATTGTATAAAAATATTTTAAAAAAAGAGGAGAAACTGATACTTTGTAGGGGCAAAACAATTTTCAAAACAGTATGTTGTCCCATTTTAATTTAAATATTTGTATTTATATATTTGAATAAGAAAAATTTGGGGAGACTATCCCAAGAATGTTGAGTAAATAAGCATCTGTTTCTGACTTTTGAGATTTGGAATAGTTTCAATTTTTCTTTTATAGTTAATCTGTATTTTCAGACTTTTCTGTAGTGCAATACTTACCATTAAAAAAATAAATAAGGAAATATCTTTTTAAATCCTAGATGTGAAAAACTCCTGACTCGATTGCATGTCACTTACGAAGGAACCATAGAAGGAAATGGTCAAGGCATGCTACAGGTAGGAGAATTACAGCAGTGGGGGCATGGGGGGAAGGGACGACTGTCTCTTGTCAAGCTTCCGACAGCAAAGGAAATATGAAAAGCTGTTTATTTATCTTCTAAGCTGATGTAATGCAATGAAGCATAATAGCAGAATGGAGAAAAACACCAAACAGATCACCTTGACAGCCTTGGTAATACTTTTATCTGCCGATATACGTTCTCTGTTTCGTACGTGTGCCTCTTTAAAAAGCCTTTGACAGAAAATCCAAGATCTGGACAACATCAGGCCTCTTGGTTCAGATATAGCTTGTAGATTGACAGTGGAGGAAGTTGCCAGGGTATGGTCTTGACAAGCTGTCACCAGGCAGTTTTGTTCTCTTTCTTTAAAGGCTCTTGCTCTGCCCTAAAAAATGACCGGCTTGAGATGTTTTTCTGTCACCAACTTTGTTTGGGTCTAGGAGGCAGACATCTAAAACGGATTGATAAGAAAGTCCTCTCTCCATGTGTAATAGTTTTAGGCACATGAGCCAGATATACTTGCCATCTCTTCCCTGTTTTAGAGCAAGTAATTTTGTCCATCTGTCAATCTTTGTTATTAATCTATGTTCCTGCCATTATGTAAAAAAAAGTATTTTGGAAAAAGGAGTTAACAAATAAAACACTGTATCTGGCTTTAACTTGTTGTAACACCTAACCTGAACATGTGCTTTCCTTTTGCTTTATAGTGATCTTTTAAAAAAATCACTAATCAGAGACGAAATGTTAGTGTTTTGTGTTCTTATTTAGAAGAGCATTGTAATCCTAATTTTCTTTGGAAGAAGCTTGTACACCATCCTGTTTATACTGAGACTAGCTGATTTTTTTCTTAGATCATTATTAAATGCTTATATAGGGTCAGAAGTTAAAGCAGTTGCCTGATAATGGACTATTTGTGTAATTAACTTAATTTTTATTATAAAATGACCAGACTGATTTGCATTTGGCTACTTATTATATGCTCTAAGTGCCTACATTTGTTTTAGAATGGCCTTTTATTTAGACATATTTGTATTTAAAATTTTCAAAGAGGCAAACCATGTTTTGTTTTAAGTCACCTCCCAGTGATTAAAATTATAGACAAATAATTTGGATAACTGAATTAATATTTGTCCTGTACTTAATTTTTTAATATTTATATTTAATAAGTCCTTTTTCTTCTATTTAAAACAATAATTTTGAAATAAGACTAAAGTTTGTTTCGAATGACTATCACTTTTTCCCCCACATTTCCATCTTGACAAGGTTCTTTCCTACAGTAACATCTTGGATTAACTGAGGGAAGCTTAATACACATGAAATAAACAAAGCTACTGGTGGTTAGCACCGCAGGAATGCTGACCTTTCATTACAGTACGATTCAGCAAGGAGTTATTCAACAACATTCAAGGTTGAGATTCTCCCCACTTCCCTGGAATGTATTATAGATGAAATGTGAAACTTCAGTAGATTAAAAGAATACCATAAAGGCTTCTATTTATTTTCTCCCTACCCATGCCATGTATCCCCAGGAGATCAGGGAATATTGTATTGCAGTGCTCCAAATCTCCTTGTGTAGCATATAAATTACATTATGCTGAGTGGCAACAACAACAAAACCTCTCTAAGGAGTGTTATCATTTCTCTCTTTTCATCAAGTTATAATTCAGAACTGAGTAAGCTGAACAGGTAGCTTTAAAGTAAAATGAGTTAGAAAATGGCTAAAAATAAGGAAGCACTCATATGCTTGTTTTCATGTACTGGAACAGATTTCTTACCTGCAATAGAGAGCCTTTTATTAAGAACTTTTTTAAGTAGTAGAAACTGATTTTCTAAAAGACTCCTGCTTTCAGAGGCATATTGAGTTTAGTGTATTTGTTTCTGTGCATACCTTTTAAGTAATAAATGTTGGCCTTTTATTCAAAGAATGAACAGTAGTATGCACATTGAATGTATTTCATTTATCATTTGCAAGTAGTACATAGATTGGATAGAGCTTATCTTTTAAATTTAGTTATGTATCTTGTTACGGTAACAATTAAGTTTAGCTGATCTCAGGCCTTTGTTTCTCATTTGTATTCCGAATACCATGATACTTAGCCAGTCTTTCAGTTTTCAAGAGCTGTCCATTTTATTTCCTTGCTGGGTCTCACTTCTTTCCCCACTGACCTATTTGAGGCCCTAGTAGTGCTTGTCTAAACTATTCAGTATTTACCTAGCCAGCCTTTCTGCTTTTACTTTTCCAGTTCATTCTTTAAACTTTAGTCTGAATTATCTTCCTAAAACACAGATACATTTGTTACTTTTCTTCTTAGAATCTTTCCCAGAATCCTAAGAATTAAGTAAAAATTTCTTGGACCCCAGACCAGCTCATTACCAACTTTAATTCTCCACATACTGTACACTGCAGACAGGCATGAGGAATCTGCTTACCACTCTCCTCATACAGCTCTTTACATTGGTTTTTCCTGTGTCCTTTTGCAGCTATTCCCTTAGCCTGATTGTCAGCAAAATCTCAATTGAATATGCCACATCCTTTTGTAACGCTCCTGTATCCTCCCCATGCGCCAATTTTAGTTAATTGTATTATCTGAGAAGTATCAAATATATCCTAATAGGTTCTTTAATAATCATCTTATCATTCTACTTATGTGCCTCACTCCCATCTAGACTGTAAATGCTATGAAACCAGGAACCACATCTTATTCATCTGTGTATTCCATGGTTCACAGCATAATAGTTCATCAATACTTGTTTAATTGAACAATTTAAGCTATAAATCACCCAATGTATAAAGACTTAATATGTAGTAGGTAACTATTTCTAATCAGTGGACTAGTTTAACCAAAATTATTTTTCTGTATAAGTTAAAGTTTTAGTGTTGATTTATTATGCCAGAATATAAACCCAAATGATTCACTTTGGTAACTCATTTCAAGAACTTGTCCAGTCATATTTTTCAGTATTTTCTAAGTTCTTCTGTAGTGAAAGAAGAATACTTTATCTTCTATTAATTTCTCTCTTTTCACATATAGTATTTTTACATGTCAAAAGATTCATATTCTTGTTTTACTCTTTTGTAAAACAGGCCTCACGTTACTATTCCTTATAATTGCTTTAGAGATCACAAACAAGTTTTACAAAATCTCATACTTGACAATAGTATGAAAGTATATGTGAAATAATAGGAAATATATATATTAGTCTCTACAACCTGTTCTTGGCACAGAGCTCCTAAAACCCTTGTAATCTCCTGAGTGGTAAGAGCAGTAGGAGCATCTTTTGTTCTAATATTTGGTCTTTGACCCCAATTCCTGACTCAGAGTTCCTAAACCCCTTGGAATTTCCTGAGTAATAGACATGTCTTTTGTTCTAATGATGCAGCTCTTGGTGGGCTCCTGGGTAGCTTCAGGATGGGGATGGTCACCAGAAAGACTAAGCCATGATTAGAAGTTTGGAACTTTCTGCCCCACCTCCCATCATCTGGGAAAGGGGGAGAGGGACTGGAGACTGAGTTAATGATCGGTCATGAGAATGTGATGAAGGTTCCATAAAAATTTCAGAAGTACAGGATTTGGAGAGCTTTGGGGTTGGTGAACATGCAGAGGTGCTGGGAGATGACTTGCTTGGAAAGGGCGTGGAAGGTCTGTGCCCCTTCCCACATACCTTGCCCTGTGTGTCTCTACATCTGGCTGTTCATCTGTATCCTTTATTACATCCTTTTTAATAAATCAGTAAATGTAAGTAAGTGTTACCCTGAATTCTGTGAGCTGGTCTAGCAAATCATCAAGCCCCGGGTGGGGTCATGGGAACCCCAATTTATAGCTGGTCAACTAGAAGTACAGGTGACAACCTGGGACTTGAGATTGTCATCTGAACTGGGGCAGTCTTGTAGGACTGAATCCTTAGCCTGTGGGATTTTTCACTAACCTCCAGGTAGACAGTGTCAGAACTGAACTGGATTGTAGGACACCTAGCCGGTATTGCAGAATTGCTTGATGTGTGGAAAATCCACACATCTGGTGTCAGAAGTGTCGGGAGTGTGGCAGTAGTGTGAGAGTAAAGAAGAGACACAGGATTGTGTTTTTCCTAAATAGTATAGAAGCCTCTCTTACGTTACTTACTAAATTCTGGTAGGGGGCGGGAGGGGTTGTGTATGACTGTATGTGTACACAAGTTGTGTGTATGTGTGTAATCTAACTCCCCAAATAGAAAAATCTAAGACAAAGTCAGAAACTATTTCTTACATATTGCCCCATAGAGCCTAGCATACCGTTGGACACATTGGAGTGCATAGTAAGTTTAAGACAAACAAATAATTCTGGCAAGTTGAGTTTGCTTTCTCTTGAGGATTGTGTAACTCACCTTTATCAATAGGAGCTTGGGGATGCCATCATAGTACTCCATAGAAAACTTACATATAGTTTTAAACTAAATTGGAAATATTAATTTATTGAATCTTTGTTGTTAAACTAGATTTTTTTTGGTCTTCATTTTTCTTCCCCTTAGGTGTATTTTTCTTAAAAAGTTTATAATGTTTTTGCAGTTTGGGGTTTGCAGTTGAATTTAGAAGGAAGAAATTTTCATCCTTTTATTCTTTCACAAAAGAAAAAAGTTACCGAAAAGGTTAAATCCTAAACTTTTCAAACCTTTAAGGACAAGTGTTTGATTTCCATATTATATAAGAAAGGTACAGGCTATATAGTTCGGAGATACTATGTGTTCGTTTCCAGACCATTGCAAAAAAGTGAGTCACATGAATTTTTTTGGTTTCCCAGTGCATATAAAAGTTACGTTTATACTATACTGTAGTCTTTTAAGTGTCCAATAGCATTATGTCTAAGAAAATGTACATGCCTTAATTAAAAAGTACTTTATTGCTAAAAAAAAAATGCCAACCATCATCTGAGCCTTCAGGTCATAATTTTTTTTGCTGGTGGAGGGTTTGAAATATCACCAAGAATTACCAAAATATGACACAGAGACACAAAGTGAGAAAATGCTATTGGAAAAATGGCACCAATAGCCTTGCTAGATGCAGGGTTGCCATTAACATTCAATTTGTAAAATATGCAATATCTGTGAAGTGCAATAAAGCAAAGTGCAGTAAAATGAGGTATGCCTGTATAATTATATTAAAGTCATATGAAGTACATAAATGGAAATTGAGTAGAGAGTGGTGGAGAAATGATCTTGAAACGTTCCCAGATAAAAACCTCCCTTGATTTGTGGCCCTTGGAGCACAGGTAAGGTTTATAAACAAGAGTCCATAAATTACATTTGAGGCTTTTGCCTAAAAGCTCTATTTTCCATGTTCCTTCTAACATTTTGGAATCCAAAGAAATATTCAGAGATGTTAACTGCAGTGAGGTGGAAAGGGTGCAGTCAACCACAATCTGTTCTCCCCGGGAAGATTACTAATTTGGGGATTGATTTATGTGGGAAAGGAAAGGAAGATCAGAGCTTAGAGGGAGTGTACTTCTTTATCATATATGTAGGTATTTTAAATTGTCATTTAACATGCCACATTTTCCCAAATAGGTGGATTTTGCAAACCGTTTTGTTGGAGGTGGTGTAACCAGTGCAGGACTTGTACAAGAAGAAATCCGCTTTTTAATCAACCCTGAGTTGATTGTTTCACGGCTCTTCACTGAGGTGCTGGATCACAATGAATGTCTTATCATCACAGGTTAGTTTTGAGAAGTCTGGACAATGGGGTAGTGTTCCCCATCTGTGATGATCTATCATGAAGACGAGAGGCCACTCAGATAGTAGCTTTTCTCTACCGTGGGCATTAGTCCTAATATTTTAATTCATTAATTTATACTTGTTCTTATTAAATTGTTACAGTTTCATTTTCATAATCTTGAGTAAGACATTTTATCCCCACTTTTTCTTTCTTGGTATCTTTATCTGAGGAACAAGGGTAAAAATGATTAAACTACTCTCCAGTTTGAAATTTTATGATATGGCGTCCTTAAAAAGAAGATAGTGATATGTCTTTGAGCATGTATCCTATTATTATTCTTCCATTATATTTCCAAAGTGATTTGTTGTACTTCAGTATGAACACACTGTGTAAGTATAAAAAACAGTTACAGTGTTTGGAGAGAGTCAGTACAACAGTGAGTTTTATAGAAGGGAAATAAATCAGTAGCCTTATGTTTATTCTAATTTCTAATCCTAAGAGAAAAAGTGTGATTATCATAGTGCCTCTCTTTGATTTAAGTTATTATGGGTGAAGGAGAGAAGGAAACATAGTCAAATTTATACTTTAGGCCTATTAATCAAGATTTACATTTTTTTCCTTTAAGTTTCTTTAGATTACAATATCACTATGTCACAGTATTTTCTTGTGTATAAGCTACCCAAAAAAATTGATGATTAACTCATAACTCCTAAGAAACTCTTAATCAGCCACTGTAGGGAAGTTAAGCCTTTTATTCAGGTACCTAAAAGAACGTATACCCCCCCCCCCAAAAAAAAAAAAACATTCCCATATAAAAGCCGTAATCAGCCATCAATTGCTGATGTTTTTTCTTTCTGCAAAGGAGGATTTTTTATTTCCTCTTTGAATCTATTGCCACTTTGAGATTAGTATAGGAGACTAACAGGCTAAGTGTAGGAGAATTTGGTTGATAGTTATTTTCAAAGATTACAGTGGGATGAAAACCATCCTCTGTTAGTTTTATCAAATGTATAACTCAACTAATTTATGTCCAAAGAGGTACATGACAGAATTAAGACTGAGACCACACATCTCAGATACATTTGTAGGCAACCTTCAGGAGAGCATCTAAATTTTGTCCCTTATGTTTTGCTTTCAGGATTCCCTCTTTGTCTTTCAACTGTTTATGATGTGTATAGGTGTGGATCTCTTTAACTTTATCCTGTTTGGGTTCATTGAATGTCTTGAATGTTTAGTACATTTGGTAAATTTTTGGCCATTATTTCTTCAAGTATTCTTTCTGTCCCTTTCTCTTCTCTCCTTCTGAGACTCCTGTTATGCATGTGTTGGTACATTTGGTGATGTCCATTGGTCTCTGAAGCTCTGTTCATTTTTCTTCATTCTTTTTGTTTCTCAGACTGGATAATTTCTACTGACCTATTGTCAGGTTCACTGATTCTTCTGTCTGCTCTAATCTGCTTTTTAATCCCCTCAGTGAAATTTTTATTCCAGTTATTATGCTTTTCAACTATAGAATTTCTATTTGATTCTTTTTAAAAATAATTTTTATCTCTATTGAGATTCTCTATTTGTGAGGCATTATTCTCATATTTTCATTTAGTTCTTTAGACATAATTTCCTTTAGTTTTTTTTAATGGATGTAAAACAGCTGACTTAAAGTTTCTGTTTAGTAAGTCCAACATCTGGGTTCCTCAGGGTGGGTCAGTTACTAATGAATACTTTCTTTCTCTGAGTATGGACCCTACTTTCTCGTTTCTTTGCATGTCTCAATTTTTCTGTTGAAAACTGGACATTTTAAATGGGGCAACTCTTGAAATTAGATTTTCTCCTTTTCCCAGAGTATGTTTTTGTTGCTGTTTGTTTAGTGACTTTCCTAATCTAGTTCTGTGAAGACTATTCTTTTTCATGTGTAGCCACTAAAGTCTCTGCTTGGTTAGATTAGTAGTTACCTAATGATTGGACAGAGATTTTCTTAAATGCCTAGAGCCAGTAAGTCAGTCTTTGCCAAAGGGCTCTGTGTATATGTTGGGGCTTACCTTCAACACTCCACCAGGCAGTTGACACTTCCTTCCTGCTTACACAGAGCCTCAAGATCAGAGTGAGGGGAGAGGTTAGGACCTTCTCAGGTCTTTCTTGAGCCTGTGTACAGCTATGGGCATGTGTGTAGACGTCTAGATTCCCGAGGATACTTTTCAAAGTCCCGTAAGTACTTCTCATTCCTTAGCTTTTCCTCTGAAGCTTTTTGGTTAGCCTATTTACCCCAACTGTAATCTAATGCCTCAGGCAGCTACACTGTTAAACAATTGACTATAATTGTTTTCAACAAACACCCCTGGGAATTAGGCTTTTCACCCTGGACAAAGTCCAAGTCTGGTCAAATAAAGACAGCCTTGTGAGTGAGGTCTTCCAGGGAACTACCAGACAGGTCAGATGATTACAGTTCTCTGAGAATGGGGCTTTGAAGGAGCTTCAACCCTTCTCTGCCCCCTCCGGTGGCAACCAGGCTGCTTTGATTACAGGCTGTTGGTTTCTAAGGCTACTACGGAGCTTGGGAAAGTGGAATAGGAACAGGGCAAGTTAAAACACCATACAACTCACTGTTTTTACCAATATTCAGCCAATTTTTCTTTAATAAACACTCCTCAGACTGCTGCAAGCCTTTGGTTAATTCCCACAGTTCAGAAAAAGATGATTCTTACAAGTTTTGCCAGTGTTCTTATTATTTTTATGGAGGAAACAGTTCTCTGAGATTTTTACTCCATTGTTTTTGTTGATGTGTCCATAACTTTTATAAGTGCTTGTGGATAAAAGGGCTTTCAAGGAGTTATTCCACATCTTTTAGATAACCCTGTATTATTTCTTATAATATCCTTTTGATTCTTCTGTTTTGATAAGACAAAAAGTAAAAATTGTTGTTTGAGTTTATGTAGGAAGTTAAGAACTTCAGCAAAGGAATTTCTTCTTTGATAGAACTGCAGCTATTTGAAGTTAATAACTTTAAGTATTTCATCCAGAATTCTGAGGTTGTAATCCAAACTGTACTGAAATAGAAAGATAAAAAACCCTTTTATTCTCAGCATTGTCTCAACTCACATATTGGTTGTCTATCTGCATTTGTTGTTTATTATGTATGCAGATAAGAAGGGTGTAGTTAGAAGTTGTTAGGGGAGAAAAGAGTGTAAGGAATTATAGAACAAAAAAATTAAACTGTCATAAATCCATTGTTGGGCAAATGAATACTTTGAATATTGATCTCAGACTGTTTTAGAGAGCACTGAAGGTCTGGAATGTGACCATCTCCAGCATTTGGGTGTATCAAATAATACTTTAAAAGAGTTTTAATTTTTAGCAGTTAAGCTAGATTTGAATTGAAGACTGAGAACAAAATATACCATCAATTTTTTTTTTTTTTTTTTTTTTTGGTACGCGGGCCTCTCACTGCTGTGGCCTCTCCCGTTGCGGAGCACAGGCTGCGGACGTGCAGGCTCAGCGGCCATGGCTCACGGGCCCAGCCGCTCCGCGGCATGTGGGATCTTCCCGGACCGGAGCACGAACCCGTGTCCCCTGCATCGGCAGGCGGACTCTCAACCACTGCGCCACCAGGGAAGCCCTCCCATCAATTTTTTAGGATGAATTTACATTCTTGAAATAAAATAGTTGGTAGAATGCAGGGCATTTTAACTCAAAGCTAATTTGTTTCATTTGCTTCACTTCTGTTGTACTAGGGAAGTAGTCCCTTGTCATCTCCCATTAATGTTTCTGTAAATAAAGGATGTAATTTCCTTGGGAATAGTAAAAGGAAAACATTAGACTTCTTTTCTTTTTTAAGGATAGTTTGTCCCCAATCTAAAAAAGCATCATCACTCTGGAGTTATATCTGGTCTCTAACTTACCTGCAGCCATTGTAAAATAGATGGAAAATTGCAGATCCATGACTCACCTTCACACCTGTAATTACCTCAGGCTAAGGACACCCGGGGTGACTTTAACTCAGCATTTTTTCCCCATATCCACTTAACTCTATTATAGTGCCTCCTAATTAATATCTGTGATGTGATGTTCCCTTAATGGAAATGGCCATTTCATCATCTATTTGATGTTGGATTTCTGCCATCTCCCTTCTTAGGAGACTCTTAACTATGCACTGCAGTCTATCTGCCTGATCAATTCCATTCCTTCAATGATTCAACCAGGCTCAGTGAGCTAATGGCTGTGACTGTGCTGCCTGAATCTGTAGAAGAGTTTGAGAAATTGGAAATAAATTAAATTTATCATCATTGTGGGGCATCTGGTTGGTATCAGACTTTTAAATGAATATGAAACAGGTCATGCAAACAGGCAAATACTTTTATCCAAACAGTGTTATCCCTCTACTTGCTGTGATCCTCCCTGGAGCAGGCATGAGTTAAAACCTTTCAGTAAGTATAGATTGAGGAAAAGAATTAAAACTCCAATCTTCCCCTTTTTTCCCCTCTCTTGTGTTCCTTCACAACGTCCAGTAAAAGCTTCAATACTAAAAGGTGTTACTGTGCTGCTGGGAGATTATTTTGTTGTTTCTGTGTGGTGAGAACATAAAGCAGATGCCTAGACATGAAACTTACTGAGCAGAATGTTGACACATTTAATATAAAACCTGCCCTCTAGTGAATCAAATTGTCCCAAACACCACAGGTCCTTAAATCTTTCGTGAGTGTCAGCAGAACTGATAGAAAAGACAAAAGCAGACACCATTGCTTGTAGTACTGGTACCTTTCATAGAGTTAACAACACTAGAGGAGCCCATCACTACAAAAACAGCCCAGTGCTTACTAAATGACACCAGCTCATTGGGAAAGATCTAAATAAAGTTGGAGTTTGGCTTTTCTTAATTTTTATTAATCATGGGAATGAAAGGCCAGAGTGTTTTTTTCTGGTGCATAATCACCACTGTTTTAATGATGCTAATAAAAGTGGGGTAGATGGTTGTTTTTTTTTTTTTTTACATCTTTATTGGAGTATAA